CACCGTCTCGATTCGTATTGTAGCTGTAATGACTTCCTTACATTGTACTGCGCTGCGCACACTGTTGGCGCCATATAAATTAATAATAATAAACTGCAAATCAAATCTGCATTGCTCAGGCAGGGTGCGCAGTAGAGGCAAAAGTACTCCTGAAACTGTGATGGTGATAAACTTAAAAGCAGTAGTATTAGTGGTAGTAACAAAAGCAGTAGTAGTAATAGGAGCAGTAGCAGCAACATCAATAGTAGAAGTATTATTAGTAATATCAGTATTAGTGGTAGTAGTAGCAGTAGTAGTATTAGTGGTGGTAGTAGTAGTATTAGTAGCGGTGGTAGTATTAGTAGTGGTATTAGTAGTAGTAGTAGTATTTGCGGTAGTAGTAGTAACGGTAGTAGTAGTATTAGTAGCAGTAGTAGTAGTAGTATTAGTGGTGGTAGTAGTAGTATTAGTAGCGGTAGTAGTGGTGATAGTAGTGGTAGTAGTAGTATTAGTAGTAGTATTGTTATTTACGGTAGTAGTAGTAGTAGTAGCAGCAATAGTAGTAGTAACGGTAGTAGTAACAGTAGTAATATTAGTGGTGGTAGTTGTAGTATTAGTGGTAGTAGTATTAGTAGTATTAGTGGTAGTAGTATTAGTAGTGGTAGAAGTATTAACAGCAATAGTAATAGTAGTAGTAGTGTTATTAGTAGCGGTGGTAGTAGTATTAGTAGTAGTAGTAGTATTATTCACGGTAGTAGTAGCAGCAGTAGTAGTATTTACAGTAGTAGTAGTAGTTGCAGCAGTAGTAGTAGTATTAGTGGTGGTGGTAGTAGTATTAGTGGTAGTAGTATTAGTAGTGGTGGTAGTAGTAGTAGTATTAGTGGTAGTGGTAGTAGTATTAGTAGTGGTAGTAGTATTAGTGGTAGTAGTAGTAGTATTAGTGGTAGTAGTATTAGTAGTGGTAGTATTAGTGGTGGTGGTAGTAGTATTAGTAGTGGTGGTAGTAGTAGTATTAGTGGTAGTAGTATTCGTAGTGGTAGTAGTATTAGTGGTAGTAGTAGTAGTATTAGTGGTAGTAGTATTAGTGATAGTAGTTGTATTAGTGGTAGTGGCAGTGCAGTAGTGATATTAGTAGTTGTAGAAGTATTAACAGCAGTAGTAATTGTAGTAGTAGTAGTAGCAGCGACAGGAGTAGTAGTAACACCCCCCTTGTGACGGCACAGCTCCAATACATTTCACCAAAATGGCGAGATTGAGGGGAGGTGGTCGGAGGAACGAGTACTTCCTAAAAGTTGAGTCTCCTCAACATTTCCAATTACCCCGATACTGTCACCGGCACTGAACAGGCTAATTAGTCCGGTCGCGGGAGTAAAAGCATTCATTATTGTAGCGCGGCGATGGAAGGAAGGGACCGGCATGTTCTCGGATGTAATTTCCTGCCGGAATAAATAAACGGAGTGCGGGGCCCCCTTGCTACGCTCCCCTCCTTCCCCGAGAAAATGCCGGGCTGTTTATTAACTTAATGAACGCTAAGTGGCTTTATAACGAGAGGACGCTCCGCCACGCAGAGCGCGCTACACAGTACCGGAGACATCCAACCGTCCAATCATTTCACTTCTGAATGTAAACCCGACAACGAACTTGTTCTATAGAATGTACACTATATTGCCAGAAGTATTGGGACGCCTTTACACGCACATGAACTTTAATGGCATCCCAGTCTTAGTGCGTAGGGTTCAGTATTGGGTTGGCTCCGCCCTTTGCCGCTATAACAGCTCCGCCTCTTCTGGGAAGGCGTCCACAAGGTTTAGGGGCGTGTCTATGGGAATGTTGGACCATTTGTGAAACTGAGCTCCTGAGAGCGACCCGTTCTCTCACCGATGTCTGTAGAAGCGCCTGCATGCCGAGGTGCCTCATCCTATACACCGGGGGCCATGGAGGGGATTGGAACACCGGAGGGGGAGGGGCCCAATACTTTTGGCAATATAGTGCTTGTTGTTGCATCTGTCAGGAAACCTCCCTGTGCTCTGCTCGCCGTGTCCTCATGTTGGGTAACGTACTCTATACTTTAGTATGATTTGCACCTCAAAGCAACCATAATAATCCGAATACTCTGCTCCAGGGAAAAAGAATTAGATGAATCCTCTCCCGGTACACATTTCCAGTTGCTCCGTACACAAATGATAGAACAGGACAAACCAATTACAGTCTGATTGGTAACAATGAATACTTTGTAATTATCAGGTTATTGGATGAAAAGCGATGATATAATTACCAATCACGTGATAATTATGGAACGCTTCGCTCTTTTCTCCAGCAAAACTCTGTATATATATTATCTCCCATCGCCACTGTAATTACCATAATACAAATGATTTCTTTGGCTTTTGTACTTCGGTATAATAGGCGGATCGAAGCACCGGCTCCGAGCCCAAAGTTGCTATTTTGTTTTGGGTAGAGCAGAGAAGGGTCGGAGCTTCGGTCAGGATTGATATTACAGTCCAGATACAAGCGGTATGTAAATATCCCTTGGATTTTTTTATAACCCTGATGAAGGGGACGAGGCGTGGCCCCTGGAATGTGTTGGATTTGGAATAAACTTTTCTCAGGACTGTGATGTCACAATGTAGCACTTCAGTCTCAGATCCTCTTATTCCTATCACAACGTGAGGTGACCATTGGAATCCTTTGGCGTGTACAAATCTCCAGTGTCTACTAGGGATGCACAGATGCCGGTATTTCGGTATCGGGTACGAGTACCGATTATTTTTTTCGGTAGCGAGTACCGGAAGTCCCATTCAGGAAGCCAGGCGGCCAGTAATGACTCGCCCCCCCTGGCTTCCTGATTAGCCGGTGAAGCCGGGGCAGCGTGTAAAGACTCGCCACCCGGCTTCCCAATTAGCAGGGAAGCCGTCCCCATGCTTCTCGTCTCTAGGTGACGAGAAAGCATTGAGGTGGCTTTCTGTCCAATCAGGAAGCCGGGCGTTGTGTAATGACGCGGCACCCGGCTTCCTGATTGGCCGGGAAGCCGTCTCCATGCTCTCTAGTCACAAGTGACGAGAGAGCATGGGGCCGACTTCGCCGGCTCCTGACGCTTATACCGGAAGTATCGGGCTAGGCATCGGAGAATTTGGGCACCCAAATGCTCGGCAACGGCACCGATACTGATACTAGTATCGGTGTGTAGCGATAACTCCCCCGCAGGGAGCCACTGGTTGCCCGGTCCACATATAGTCGGTCTAGGGGTTGATTTCCAGTTGCACCCATTAGCACTAACCGCCCTTCTTCTGGTGCCCATAAATTGATGTCCACTTCAGTAGTATGATGCTAATTGAACATTTTATTGCACATCTTCTTAGGGAGAGAAGGTGGTGGGGGGGTTCAAGGTGTCTAGGGCTAACCATCATCAGCTCCAGACTCACCGGATCTTGTGAAAGTAGCCATGCAGCTCCACAATCCCAGAAAGACACCGACCATGCTCTGAAGTCCACATAGTTTCAGGGTACCTCAAGAACCTGCACTGGTCCTGGTTCTCTTCCTCTTTCCATCTCTCAG